AGTCTAAAGGGGCCAATATAATTTCATAAAAGTCCATATGTATAGCTAAAGGCTACATAACAAGCAACAACCAGACAGGTGATACCTTCTTTTGAGTTGTTGGCCAGAGTGGCCAAAGGGATTCCCAGATAGTAACCCAGCATAAAACTGGGAAAATGAACAGCAGACCCTAATCTTATCCAATGATTACCACTAGATGAGGAACAGCTGACCCTCCTAAAACAAAGACCTCTAGATAGGCTGACTACACTCACCAGAAGGGCAAGTAGTGAGGAATGGCTGGGGTGCCCACAACACAGCAGACAGTAGCAGGGATATCAGAGTATAGGGGCTGTAGTGGGGGGAGGGAGGCTGTGGGAGGGTGCTATCTGGGAAGTGTGTATAAAAATAATTTTTTTTAAGAAACTGAAAAATAAAACTGCAGAAAGTATTCATTGCTAAAAGATAAAAATACTCAATTCAGGGGATGGAGAGATGGCTCAGCAGGTAAGAATACTAGTTGTTCTTGCAGAAGACCTGTGTTTGAGTCCCAGCACCCACATGGCAGCTAACAACTGTCCATAACTCTAGTCCCAGAGGATCTGACAGCCTCTTCTGACCTCCGTGGGCATTGCACGACATGGGTGCACTGACCTACATGCAGGCAACACATGCATACACATAAAAAGAAATACTCAATTCACTATATGGGTAGGAAGTTGTGACATCTAGGGAATCAAATATTGATACTGTCTTCTTGTATACATTTCTATGTAACTTGGAAAAAACTGTATAAATGAGTACACTGCAATTATTAGCCTTGCTGATGACCCCATGATATATTTGTGGATATGGGTGTTGTGGGAGGAGGGTGGACCCTGCAGGTACACTCTCCTGTGGTTGCAAATGTGGAGGCAAGAGGTTGATACTGTCTTCCTCTACTGCTCTCCAACTTATTTTTTGGACCTCTCTCTGAACACTAATCTCAATATTTTGACTAGTCCTGCTGGCCACTGAGCCCCCAAGAATGACCTGTATCCATTCCCCAAAGTAGTGTTATGCTCAGCTTGTATGTGTATACTGGAGATTCGAATTTGGGTCCTAATGATTGCACTACAAGCACTTTACCCACTGAGCCACCTCCCCAGATCCACACTTAATCTTTAGTTATAAAGTCCTACAGTACAAGCTAACATTGCTTGATGTTGCAAGAAAAAGTGAGAAAACAATTACAGGAAGGTGGAATAAATGAGATGGGATGGGAGAGGCTGATAAGTGAGTGGAAATAAGGCGGATGCCAAGAAACATCTTACAGAGTCATCTGTGGTCTGTGATTTACTCCTAGTACATGTTCAGAAAGTCATAAGCCTTCTGGAATCACAAACTTTCTTCAGCTTCTACAGGCAAATCCTGGATTAGAGAAAAACCAAGAACTGGACTCTGGAATCTCTCAATCTGAGAAAGGCTCTTCTACAGCTCTGGTTGACTCATCTCCTCTGCACAGGAGAATGGGAGAAAGGTAAGAACATATTCCAAGAATTTCGGGGAGTTCCTGTTTTTGTATATTTTCTGACTTCCCAAACCTGTTTCTGTTTCTGCCACAGGATTCCTCATACAGGAGTCTGGCCTCCTCTTCTCCCTTCTGATATTACTATCTTTCCCTTTTATTCAAAACACCCAAATCTTCTGTAATTCAGAGATAATGCCTCTCACGTTCATTTAAGAAGGTGGTGTGCATATGTTGCTTCCCAGAGCTGAGACTCTGTAAAAGATGTTCCGTTATTTTGCTGATTTTTCATAAATACTCAACATTGTGCATTTTTTGAGCGCCTAAGGGAGATGGTTCAAATTGGAATTAATGAGGAACATCTCTGGAAGGGACAGTTTACAAAGACTAGCATGTTTGAGGGAAAATGGAAGTGCACAGTGAATCTTCATAAGGTTATGCTTTCTGTCCAAGGTGCTAAGGGACACAGTTAAGAGCTATCATCAGAGCGAATACAGCTAACTTAGTAGTAGGAGCACATACAAGCCAGGCAGAGGGGCACTGCTACTTCCAATACATAGCTTCATGGTATGACAGAAGAAGAAATAAAATTATCCCATCCTTCTCATCCTGCCCTCCAGTTTCACAATGGTGTCAGTTCAGTTCAAGCAGAAAGAGAATTGAAATCAATCCCACTAATGTGAGTCAGTAAACTTCTTGTGATGATAGACAGGAAAGGGAAGGACAAAAGGAAATTTTTCATGGCACATGAGACATTCACCCCTCTCACGCCTTCCTCCTGCATTGTGGTTTTCTAAGTTTAAACACTGAGAGATTTCTCATCTTATTTCTATCAGAGTTTTCTTTTCTGTGCGTTTTATTCTTACAGGGGTGCTTTTGTGGAGGAATCACTCACATGATGAAAAATATCATTAGAATAGAATGCAGTTTCTGAAATGAAAACTTTCTTTACTGTAATCAAGGAAAAAAAAATGATAGGATGACACCTTAACAAGTTTGTCAAACCTGAATTGGGAGTTACAAAGCATCGGACAAAAAAACTTTAAAATTGCTGTTCCCAGACTTAAAGGGGCATAATCATCCCCTTGTGAGCACAACCCTCATGTGAACATGGCCACATCGCCAAGACAACTGGGGAAGAGAACTAGGGAAACAGGAGAGTGGGTCTACTAAGCTCAGGATCCAGGTGTTAATCATGTCTCTCTAGTCATCTCCCAGCAGCCAGTGTCTGCTTACATTTTGCAACAAGAAAAGATGTCAGATGGGAACTATTGTCTGTTTTAAATATCAGAGATTCTCTATGTTACAGAGAAGAATGGCTCTGGAGGACTCTAGCAGTGTGTAAAAGCTCCTGATGCTCTCTCATGTCTGTGCTCATATGACAACTTTTGGGTGCTTCTCGTTAGTAAGGAATGATGGGCAAAGAACAGAAAGAAATTCTCAGAACAGAACAGTACGGGATGGAAACTAAAGGAACAGATGGAGCAAACAGGCACTCAACGATGTTATTTCTGGAAACCATTTTCATGTTTAAGCTACTGTTTATTTTAATGTTAAATGAGAACAGTTCAGTAGATGTTCATTAAGGAAAGCATACCAAGTTGTTGAGGCACAATAGTAAATATACATGGTTCACTTCTTATAAAATGTCATGCTTGATAAGGAAGATAATTAGATCACACACCCTAAAAACATATGTTCAAATAGTAAAGTTCCTTGAGCAGAGAAAGTAGAACTTCTGATTTTCCTCCTCCTCTTATTTAGGCAATTAAAGTGTGGGGTCTTGTGTCTCTGTGGTCACATTCATTGTGTGCCTCTGCACCATGGGAGGATGTGTCTGTATTCTTCCCATTTGAAGGCCTCCTGCCTTCATCGGTGCTCTGGATTCTGAGGATCTGGCAACTTTTCAAGGCCAACTAAGAAATCCTGTACTCGTCCATCTGTTCTTAACTGATACCATTCCACCTCTGTTTCCATCCCTATTTGATTGAATTCTCTACCTTTCTTTTCCTGAAATTTCCTTGCACAGATTCTTTTCATCATGTGCTATTTTGGCAGTCATCTTGATTATAAAACGGGAAGTTTTTCTTATGCTTTTCCTGAACCTGCTTTTAGTCCACTCACAGTGACGATATGTACAAAGTGCTGGCAAAACTCTCACTGTGAGCTGGGAAATATCTAAATATTTTTCATACATGGGTTCAGATTTCCACAACCCACATACGAAGTTGGATAAAACAGCATGTGCCTTTAAAGCAGATCTACTCTCCCATACCCCACAGTAATCATTTGCCAATAGCTCCTAGGCTAGGGTTGGGACCTGCTGCCCATTTCCCTCATTCTATGCTGGGCTTTTGTCTGATTGAGTCAGCATGGGTCTTGTGTACTCTGACACCACTGTCGCAAGTTCATAAGCAAGTCCCCAGAGACCTGAAAGCCCCTGTTTCCTTATATTCATGTACCAACCCTGGCTGTAATAATCTTCTGGCCCTTTCTTTCTCAGTGGTCCCTAAGCCATGGGTAGGTGAGGTTCATTATAGGTGTCCTTTCCAGGGACACAGACTCCACAGTCTCTTATTCTCAAAAAATTAGTCAGCTGTGGCCTTTAAAGGAGTGACTCTAAGTAGGCTGAATAGACTCCAGTGGATGAATTTGCACTAAGGGACATCTAGGTACAAATGCTTTACCAGATAAGACTTGACATATATGACAGAATACCTGAAATCTTTGGGGAATGGGGGGTTTGGAAGGGGCTGGGGGGTCTAAATTTTATTAATATGTATTATATGAAATGTACAAAATCTTAATAAAAAACAAAACAGCATGTGCCTGTAATCCTTGCACTGGGGGACAGAGAAAGGCCAGTCCGTGTGTATCAGAATCATTGAGCCTCGGGTTCAGTAAGAGATCCTGTCTCAAAAAATAAGACGGAGAGAGATCAAAGAAGACCTCCATATGCACACAGGGTGTGCTTCCATCACTCCACACCAAAGAAAAAATTGTTTGCAATAGGGTAGCCCTTTCTGAACTCAAACTCACATTGTGGGAGACACGGGGTTGGTCACTCAGCTTTCTTGTGCTACGAATCATGAGTTTTGAAATGGCAAAATCATCAGTTCTTACCTCTTAGAATCTTGGGAGGATTAAAAGAGACAGTACAAGGCTGCTTTCTTGGTTGGAGTCCTCAAAGTCATGGAATTATCATGGCCACCTGTCAGTATTTCTGAATTTGTGCACTTGAAAGGAAATTTCTAGCCCAGAGTATAGTAGTGCGGAGCCTATAGCAAAGGGTCATTGAATAGGGTGCTTGGAACATAGTACATGTCATATCATTTAGAGGATCTGGGATGCAGGACAGAGGGCTCCAGCTATAAAGGAAAAGGAGTCTTAGATCTGAGTATACATTCTGAGAATCCCCAGCTCTTGATAGGCTTCTAAGAAATTCCCACTATACAGGACAACATTGGGAACCAGAGACACACAGCAGGTGCTTAAGTCTTGTTTGTGTTCCCAGGACCACCAGTGTGAGCTTGTTGAGTAAGGACCCAACCACACCAACCTTGACTGCAGATGTCAATAGCACAAGTGAGGATTCCTACGACTTCTTTGCGACCTGTCCAGTGGTGATGATCCTGTTCTGGCTAGTCCTCATTGTGGCTGCAGTCGGGGTAACAGGAAACGCGGTTGTGCTCTGGCTTCTGGGTTTCCGTATGCGCAGAAATGCCATCTCAGTCTATGTCCTCAACCTGGCTGCAGCTGACTTCATGGTCCTTTGCAACTATATTATTGTCCTACTGGTGGAAAAAATATCTCCAAATTTCTTCAACCTTTTTTTCGTCACAGTTTCCACCATTATGACCTTCTGCTCCTATTTCACAGGTTTAAGTGTGCTCAGTGGCATTAGCATTGAGCGCTTTCTCTCCACACTGTACCCCATCTGGTACCGCTGCCACAGACCAAGACACACATCAGCCATCATCTGCGGGCTAATCTGGACTGTGTCCCTGCTGGTCAGCACTCTGAGCGTGTCCAACTGTCTTGCATTATATTTTGGAGTTGTTTATTACAACTGGTGTGAGCCACTTGGTTTTTCCCTTGCTGTATACCTGATCTTTTTATGTGTGATTCTCTCTGGATCCAACCTGATTCTAACTGTCAGGATGTTCTGTGGGTCACGCCGGATCCCACTGACCAAACTGTATGTGACTGTCCTGCTCACTGTGCTGGTCTTCCTCTTCTGTGGCCTGCCCTTTGGCATCAATTTTTTCCTAGTAGCCAGGATTTCAAGAGGTTTGTTCCATCTCCCTTGTTATTATGCTTTACTTTGCTTTTTCCTGTCCTGTGTTAACAGCTCTGCCAACCCCATCATTTACTTCTTCAGTGGCTCCTTTAGGCAGCACAAGTACCAGAATCTCAAGATAGTTTTGCAAAGGGCTTTTCAGGACACTCCTGGGGAGGATGGACATGGAGGCAGCCTTCCCCAGGAGAGCCTGGAGGTGCCAAGCAGCAGACTGGAGCAGGAGTGAGAAGCCTGTGCTTGGGCAGCAGACGTGCCTTTTCAGTGAGCACTGCCCTGTCATGCTGTCTGCTATTCTCTCAGGTTCATGCTTCCAAAATGCTTCATGATCTCAGTGTCCTCACACAGGTTTATTTCACATTTGCTCTGAAAAAGTGTTAGCCTGAAAGCATGAACAGGACACCTGACTCTCTCAAATAAATTCGTTTGCTTGCCTTCTTAGTCTCGAATTCTTTTCACATTGAGTGCTGTTTTGTTTTCACTGCATTGCAATGGAGTCACCAAGTGCTGTTCAGGGTTGTTGTACACATTATAGATCTCAGAATCCTTACTTTTCTTTCAAGGTACATTCTTGGAAATCAGATACTGTTCTGTGATTATGCATTGTCATAGGCTGACAGCTTTGTTCTGAATAGCTGAGTCCATGAGGGATCTTTAAATCATCACGTTTTGGAAAACAGTCTTCAGACAATTACTCTACATGTGTATTAAGAGCCCAGCAGGTTTACAAGAAAAACCTCTGCAAATAGTTGTCTCCAACATAGTGACAAGTTGACCATGGTTTCTGAAAACATGGCCTTTACCTTGAAAAGATGTGTTTATTTAGAATCTATACAGATTAGTGTAAAGTCTAGAAATATGTGGGATCAGACATAATAGGACCTTGAAATTTCAATATTGATTTCAAATTGGAAGCCACATATTAATAGTTTACATATTTATTAAGAATTGTAAAGCAACGTAAGAGTCCAGATACCGCACCAATTTTCTGTTTGTGATTTCCTTCAGTGTAATCATCAACTTTCATGGACAGCAGAATTTTGGACAACTGATTGGGTTTAGGGAAATGGCTCAGAAGTTAAAGACATGTGCTACCAACCCTCACAACTTGAGTTTGATCCTTCATAACCTCATGGTAGACAGAGTACAAAACATTTTCCTCTGACCTCCATATGAGTGACATTGAGCTTGTGTACACACACACGGACACAAAATGAATGAATAAATAAATAAATGCAATATTGTTTGCTCTTCATGTGGTATTAGTTCATTGAGAATTTCATACAACATACTTCAATCATACTCTCTTTTCTCCCACAATCCTTCCAGGTTCGCCCTCCCCATTCCCATTCTCTCAACCTGGTATTTCCTCTTTTTTGATCCATTGAAACCAACCTGCATTCTCCAAATACATTTGACTGTGTGGCCATTCATAGGAGAGTGGTTGGCTGACCAGAAATCACACTCTTAAAGAAAACTCACTCTCCATCTCTTAGGAGTTATCCTTTGCCAACAGATTCTGAGCTAGTAGTGGCATGCCTTTCCTCCCCCTCCTTCTCCACGTTGGGTTTTTGTCTGGTTTGAGTTTGAGCCAGTATTGTGTATGCATTGAAATAAACTGTACCATTCCCCTACAGTGGAAAATACGCATACAATGTCTGAACATGCATACAGTGCACACCTGAAGGCTGTATAACAAGAAACACAGAGCCAGGCAGGGAAACCTCCCTTCAAGTTGTTGGTCAAGGTAGTCCAAGAGACTCCCAAAATAACACAGGCTGTTGTCACAGTCCCTTATTGTCTCCCAGAACTTGAAGATAAAATTCAACTGCTGAAGGTTAGGACACACTTTGGACACAGGATTTGGAGCAACAAATCTAGAACTGACTTGGAAGCCTCCTCCCTGAAGGCCAGCTCTCATAGTATCAGAATACTTCAAGCTTGCAAGGGAGAAAAACAATCAATAGTTCACCCTCGCTGCAAAGCCTAATAACCACAAATATGAATGGCCCAACAAACAATCTCTATTGGTGCAGTAGTGGCATTTTTATCTTGGAGATAATCAACAGCTGTCTATTTGGACTTAAAGCCTGCCAAATGGGAGGGAACTTGTATGTGGTACTGTAAACACATCCAAATACACATGGCTGGAGAGGTCATAAATCCTAGAGAAAACCTGTGTCTTTCATATCCTTAGACAAACGTAATTTTTAGTGTATGTTATATATATATCCTTATATTTACAGACAAGTGTAAATCTTCTTTTTGCAATAGACAGAGACTATTACGGAGTTCCACAACTGATCAAATGCAGAGACTAAATGTCTATGAGATGCCCAGCCCCAAGTAATACATCTACAATGCAACCTCTGCATCAGGAAAAATAGCAGAACAGGGGCAGAGTGAATATTAATGTATCTCTCAGCTCTGACCAGAGAAGCTTCCTCATGTAACATATGATGATTTACCCAGAAAGCCACAGCTAACCCAAGTGCAAAGAGAGTTGGCAGACAAACTGTAAGAGCCATGGGTGATAAGTGACCACAAGGAAACAGAGCTTTCCAAGGGACTGAGAAGTTGCTCATAAGGACTTACAGCAATGGAGACAGCGTGCACATGACCCACACAAATTCAAACCAAAGAAAAGCCTGTTTAGACGTGAAGATACGGCTAAGAAACTCCAGCCTTAGCTGGCAATCAATCACTGCTGGGAGAGGGACAGATGGTTTTCTTCAAGGGAGTGATGCTAGGTAGATTGGCCAGGCTCCAGTGGATGGACACACAGAGAAACATTTAGAGACACAAACGTGACTCGATAGGCCTTAAGATATATGAAAGAAAGCAGGAAATACGAGGGCGGCTATAGCGGGTGCAGATGGGGAGGGGCCTAAACATGATCAACATGTATCATCAGTAGCCAATAGTTCCTCGGGTAGAGTTGAGATTTCTTACCCACCCACCCACTCCTCCACCGCCCCTGCCTCACATGCTGGGATTTTATCTGGCTTGAGTTTATGTGAGACTTATGCATGCTATCACCATTGCTGATAGTGCGTGTGAGAAACTGCGCAAGTGTCTGGAAACCCGTTTCCTTTTGGTCATCCACTATTTCTGACTTGTGTTCTTTCTGTCTACTCTTCAAAAATTCAATAAAAAATGAGAAAAAAAATAATGCGCGCTTAATGTGTCTGGTGGCAATGTCAAGGCTTACTATATTGAGTCCTGACAAGTTGAGAGACTGATACAAGGTCCTCATTTCTTCAAAACCTTCTTCTTTTAATTTTTTTTGTTTTTTATTGAACTTTTGAAAATTTTATACATTTTGATCATATTTAGATTCCTACCCATATTGGCACCTCTACTTACTACCCACAACCAAATTTCATATATTCTTATATACATATGCCTTCAGAGTCTAATTTCTGTCCCCAATGTCCTTCAGTGTAGGTCCATTTACTAGAACCTGGTTAACCTACCAAAAATCACACCCTTGAAGGAGACTGATTCTCATCCCCAAGCATCCATGGTTGACAATAGTTCCTCAGGTAGGATTGGGCTTTCTTACCTACCACCCTGCATCCATGCTGGGATTTTGTCTAGCTTCAGTAATATGAGACGTGTGTATGCTGTCATCACTGGTGTGAGTTCACGTAACTGCACAGCTTTCTGGAAACCTCTCCTTCCTTTTGTTCATCCACCACCTCTGACTCTTTTAATCTTTTTGTCCACTCTTCCGCATTGACCTCTTACCCTTGGGAGGCAGAAGATAATTTATACATTTGTTAACACAGGAAAATTTAAAAATAGAATTGAAAATTGGCTACTTAAAGTTTAATCTTATCTAACACAAGATTTAACAGCAAAAGACTAATATTGTTAATTTGCTATGCATGTGGGCTCTGTGGAAAGTAACTGTACACATGAAACATTGCTGGTTTGATAAAGGAAAGGAGAGGATAGGTCATGGCAGGCCTTGAGTAGTAACTAAGATGAATGTGCTTTGTGTTTAGAAAGCTCCTCAGCCCAGCTCACATTGTACAGCACTGCTACTCAGACATACAGATAGCAGGAAAATGCCCTAAAAAGCAGTCACAAGAAGGAGGGTAAGATGGGGTGAGAATGGGTAGCGGATTGCAGAGAACAGGAGAGTAAGAATAAATGTTTAAAACCTCTCCTGAGAAGTGTGACTAAACAGACCCAACAGAACTCCACACAGGATACTACAGAACTTACCAGCATCCTGAAAAGTCTCCCACAGGCACAAACCTTCCCATACACCCTGAAGGCACTTCTTCGGGGCACAGAAGTGCCTTTAAGCAACTATAAATCTCAAAGAATATGGCCAGCTTTCCATGTCTGTCTCCTTTATGCAACAGATGGTAATTAACCCAGAAAGGTGATTAACTACCACCTCTGGCTCTTACAACCTTTCTGCCCACTCTTCCACAACAGTCCATGAGCTTTGGGTGACAGAGGTTTGATATAGGTGTCCTATTCAGGGAAAAGCACTCCACAATGTCTTAATTTCTGCACTTTGGCCACTTGTGACTTTCTAGGTTACTTACCATCTGTTGCATAAAAAGCCTCTCTGGGGGGCTGGAGAGATGGCTCAGCAGTTAAGAACACTGACTGTTCTTGCAGAGGACCCAGGTTTGAATCTCAGCACCCATATGACAGCTAACAACTGTCCGTAACTCCAGTTCCAGGGGATCTGACAGCCTCTTTCGTCCTCATGGGTGCACTTACCTACATGCAGGCAATACATGCATACACATAAAAATAATAATTTTTTTTAATTTTTAAAAGCCTCTCTGGTGAGAGTTAAGAGATGCATTCATATTCTTTATGCCTCCTGTCCCAGTATGATTTCACCTTACCCCAGTCAAACTACCCAAGATCAAGAGAACAAAAGACAACAAATGCTGGCGAGGATGTGGGAAAGGGGAGCGCTCATTCACTGCTGGTGAGAACGCGAACGCGTGCAACCACTACGGAAGGCAGTGTGGAGAGCTCTTAAAAATCTAAAGATGAATCTACTGTATGATCTGGCTATACCACTTCTTGGCATAGGCCCAAAGGACTCATCCTACTGTAGAGATACCTGTACATTCATGTTTGTTGCTGCTCTCTTCACAATAGCTAGGAAATGGAAGCAACCTGTTTCCCTTAACTGATGAATGGTTAATGAAAATGTGGTACATTTACACAATGGGGTTCTATTTAGCAGTA